GCTTAAGTGAGCCTCTTGTCTCAGCATCCTGAGTAGGGCCTACATGTGCCCACCACAACACCCTGGCTAGTTTTTTGTTGTTGTTGTTGCAGTTTTTGGCCGGGGCCGGGCATGAACCTGCCACTTCCAGTATATGGGGCCGGTGCCGTACTCCTTGAGCCACAGATGCCACCCTTTTTTTTCTTTTTAGTAGAAACTGGTTTTCACTCTTGCTCAGGCTGGTCTTGAACTCCTGAGCTAAAGCAGTCCACCTATCTTGGCCTCCCAGAGTGCTAGGATTACAGCCGTGAGCCTCCATGCCTGGCCTACCTATCTTTTTCTAAAAATGATTCCTGTAAAACTTTCGAAATAAAGTTTTGATTTATAAAGAAAAAAGGGACTTGCAAAGTTAGTATGAAAGTATTGTTTTTAGGTGAAAATTTAAAAGGAGAGCTTCGAAAAGAGGGGAATATAATATTTAACAATAATAATAGCTAATATTTATTGAGTTCTTACTATGTGCCAGGTACCATTCTAAGTGCTCTGTATGAGTTAATTCCACATAACTCTCACAGACATTTTATGAGGAGACACTATTGTGATCTCCATTACATATGAGGAAATGGAGGTACAGAGATGGGATTTCAACTTAGGCAGTCTGGCATCATAGTCGTGCTCTTAATCACTATGCCAGATTGTTAGGAGATCCTTCTACCCTTGACCAGATTTGGGTGCTTTAAAGCTTTCCCTTGCTTGTTGGAAATCAAGCACCACACCCAAATTTGTATATAAGCAGATACATTCTGTAATAAACAGATAGACGAAACTCACCTCACTTTTAAATATGCTTATTTAGTATAAAAATTATGACATCTGTTAAAACTCTCTTTAATAGCATTTTTTTTTTAAACCTGAAAATTGAATACCTATCTTTTAGGAAACACAATATCCTTTGGGTTTAGCTCGGTTGACTTCTCCTAGAAAAATGAAAGAGACTGCACTAGGTACTTGGAAGTTGGGTCTGCGCTGTGTTTGTGTGTATGTGTGTGCCTCTCTCTTGTTCTTTCTCTCTCAGCAGTGAGACCTTGGATGTGTTTGCTCATGAAGATGCCGTATATGGCTTGTCAGTAAGCCCAGTGAATGACAACATTTTTGCCAGTTCCTCAGATGATGGCCGTGTTCTTATTTGGGACATCCGGGAGTCTCCCCATGGAGGTAGGGTCATTGTGCAAAAAGTTGTTGGATTGTGTTCAACAGGTTGATGTCACATTCATTGCACATCCAATTTATGTCCTGAGTATCTAGGTGCAAGTGACATTAAATTAGAAGAAATGTGAAATTCTCACATAGGGATGTAACATGCTTGTTTTTGGAAGTCTTTTTTTTTTTTTTTTTGAGACAGAGCCTCAAGCTATTCCCTTGGGTAGAGTGCAGTGGCATCACAGCTCACAGCAACCTTCAACTCCTGGGCTCAAGCGAATCTCCTGCCTCCGCCTCCCAAGTAGCTGGGACCATAGGTGCCCACCACAGTGCCTAGCTATTTTTTGGTTGCATCCGTCACTGTTGTTTTGGCAGGCCTGGGCTGGATTCCAACCCACCACCTTAGGTGTATGTGGCTGGTGCCTTAGGCACTTGAGCCACAGGCGCTGAGCCTGTTTTTGGAAGTCTTATCTTACACCTAAGTAGTCAGAAGTAAAGCACCTTTGTCAGTGAATATCCACAAACTCTCTCGCACATTGGTGTTTAGTGGCTTCAGGGAGCAGAAGGTATGACTCCTCATTGTGAAGGGTAACCACCAAAGCCGGGCTCTGTGTGTACTGTTGACATGCAGGTATGGTTTGTTTACAGAGAATTGGGTGTTATGTACTTTCTTGCATCCACATGCTGGGCGGTGCTCACTTTGTTGAAAGAACCACAGAGCCTCACCTTACTTATATATAGGGTCTTAAAATGATGGCAAATACACTCTGGATTATTACAGGCATGGTACCTCACACCTGTAATCTTAGCACTTTGGGAGGCTGTGGCAGGAGAATTGCTTGAAGCCAGAAGTTTAAGGCCAGCATGGGCAACCTATGAGGCCCGATCTTTACAAAAATAATAATAATAAAAGATAAGGCTTTTGGCTCATAGGAGGCCACGATGCAACTTTCTTTGGTCATCCCGAATCCGGGTTCATCCAACACCAGTTGCCTCCACCATGCCACCTAAGTTTGACCCCAGTAAGATCACAATCGTGTACCTGAGGTGCACTGGTGGTGAAGTCAGTGCCATGTCTGCCCTGGCCCCCAAGATTGGCCCTCTGCGTTTGTCTCCCAGGTGCTGTGGAATAACCTGGTGATGACATCGCCAAGGCAACTGGTGACTAGAAGAGTCGGAGGGTTACTGTGAAACTGACTATCCAGAACAGACAGGCCCAGATTGAAGTGGTACCTTCTGCCTCTGCCCCCATCATCAAAACCCTCAAGAACCCAGTGAGAGACAGAAACAGAAAAACATTAAACACAATGGAAATATCACTTCTGATGAGATTGCCAACATTGCCAGACAGATGTGGCACCAATCTTTATCCAGAGAACTCTCTGGTACCATTAAAGAGATCCTGGGGATGGCCCAGTCAGTGGGCTGCAATGTTGATGGCCACCACCCTCCTGACATCATAGATGACATCAACAGTGGTGCTGTGGAATAACCAGCTAGTTAAAAAGTACAAAGGAAAATGTTTCAATAAAGGATCATTTGACACCCCCCCCCCCCAAATAAGCTAGACATGGTGGTGCACACCTATAGTCCCAGCTGTTTTGGAGGCTTGAGGCGGAAGAATCAGTTGAACCCAGTAATTTAGGACTGCAAATCAGCTATGATCCCATTACTGCACCCTAGCCTGGACAACAGAGTAAGATCCTATCTCTAAAACAATAGTATCTGTGAGTGTTTCTTCCAGATGTGCCCCTTGAGTCTCTTAACATGTGAAATGAAGAACTTGTTTTGTTGACTTTCTCCAAAGTACTTTAGGAAAGGCATCTCTTCAGCTCATTTTCTGCAGAGACATTTCTGTTTGTAATTCTTCCTATCTTCAAAAGGCCCTTTCCTCCAGCATCACCCTCAGTGCTACTGTCATCCCCACCCTCACTTTTAGTACACTTTTGTAATGATGCCTATGTACATGCAGTTACTATCCTGCCTGCTTTGTCTCAGAGGACCTAGGTCTTTTTATTTTTCTATATCCCAAGCATTTAACATCCTGGGCGGTGCTCACTTTTGAGGTTCAGGCTATAAGAGAATCTTGTTCCTAGGGTCAGGCAGCTAAAGTAGCAGCAAGCAGCAGGTTGAGCTCTGTGTGCCTGGTAGGTGAGATGCTCCTCTGTCTGACCTGCCTGATGGTTGAGATAACTGAGTGCTTCACTGGCCCAGAGGCCTGAGAAGTCCTGCATATGGAAGTCACAGACTGGGAAATGCTTTCTCTGTATTACTCCAACACAGGGGTGCCGAGCATTCAGCCTGTGGGCTGCATGTGTGTTTTTTTAGGCTTGTTTTGCTTATCTTTGGTGACAGCACAAAAATTATGTATGGACCTTTTTTTTTTTTTGCTTAGCAGCTTTCATTAATGTTTATTTATTTAATGTATGGCCCAAGACAACTTTTTTTTTTGAGACAGAGTCTCAAGCTGTTGCCCTGGGTAGAGTGCTATGGTGTCACAGCTCACAGCCACCTCAAACTCTTGGACTTAAGTGATTCTCTTGCCCCAGCCTCCCAAGTAGCTGGGACTATAGGCACCCACCACAGTGCCTGGCTATTTTTGTGTTGCAGTTGTCATTGTTGTTCAGTTGGCCTGGGCTGGGTTCGACCTTGCCAGTCTCTATATGTGGCCAGCGACCTACCCATTGAGCTATGGGCGCTGCTGCAGCCCAAGATAACTATTATTCTTCTAATGTGTTGCAGAAAAAAAAAAGGTTAGACACCCCTGCCAGGTTTCCATGGGAGTATGTCCTAGACAGCTAATTGGTTTCTTTCTTACCTGCTAATGTTTGCAAAGGGATTCGAGGTTTCTTGATAAAGTTGATTAGGAGCTGGCTGGGTGGAAGAGAAGTTCATGTATTAGACACCTTTCTTTTTTTTAGTATTCTAATACTGGAAGTAAAATCACAGAATTCTAGACTGAGGACACTTTATTTTCAATTTAGGAAACATTGTGAACTAGAAGGGAAAAGTACACTATTGTTTTGGCTTAAGTTTTTCTTAAATCTGCTGTTTAAAAACTTTTAATTTCTAAACTAATAAATTTGGATTAAAGATATAACAATCTTACCAAGAGTTAGTCATGAATTTTTTTTAGCTCATGTGGAATTCAGTTTTGCTTACAATCAGTTTGCTTTTCCATTTTTGGTAACTATTTCCATTTTGTCATAAGATCTAAACGGATGCTGTATATTTTTGAGTATTGTAGCTTAAAATGTGGTTAAATGTGTGTTGAGTTGCTGTGTATACAACTCATGGGGACTTTGTGAGTATGGGTGACTGGTGGGATGAGGTACTATGTTGGCTTCCAGGCCATTGGAATGGTCATTAAGAGTATGCTGCTGGCTCAGTGCCTGTAGCACAGTGGGTATGGCACCAGCCATATACACTGAGTTTGGCGGGTTCGAACCCAGCCCAGGCCAGCTAAACAAGGACAGTTGCAACAACAACAAAAATAGCTGGGTGTTGTGGTGGGCACCTGTAATCCCAGCTACATGGGAGGCTGAGGCAAGAGAATCGCTTAAGCCCAAGAGTTTGAGGTTGCTGTGAGCTGTGATGCCGTGGCACGCTACCGAGGATGACATAGTAAGACTCTGTCTCCAAAAAAAAAAAAAAAGAGCGTGCTGCTTACATCCACATTCCTGCCTATCTCCCTGCTACTGGCCCACAGGTGCCTGGAATGAACTGATCATAATTTCTCTTTCCACAGAACCCTTCTGCCTGGCAAACTATCCGTCAGCCTTTCATAGTGTCATGTTTAACCCTGTGGAGCCAAGATTATTGGCCACAGCCAATTCAAAGGAAGGAGTGGGACTGTGGGATATTCGAAAACCTCAGAGGTGAGCTACCTTCATTCATAAGGTGTTAAAATTTCCTCTGGCCTCATTTCTCAGATAATGTGATCAGTTAGCAAATGTCGTGAGAACCTGTTTGGCAGTTATCTCACTTGAGCATTTCCTAACATGTACTAATGTTTCTGAAGCCACAAGAGCCTGTTCCCAAGGAGTAGGCAGTGTGAGAAATCTGTATTTGTTGATAGGATGAATCATACATGGGGATCTGAGTTCTAAAAGGGTCAATTCTGGGCAATTGTATGAAGTAGCGAGAACTTCCATTCAGTACTGCCTTCTCTCTTTAGGCCCAGTGATCTCCAGATGTGTAGGAGCTTTTGCTGGGGGAGGGAGATAGATTTGCCATACTCACTGCTGCTGAGTCAGTTTTTGTTTGTTTGTTTGTTTGTTTGTTTGTTTGTTTTTGAGACAGTCTCACTTTGTCACCCTGGTTGTAGTGCCATGGTGTCACAGCTCACTCAAACTCTTGGGCTCAGAGATCCTTTTGACTCAGTCTCTTGAATAGCTGGAACTACAGGCACCTGCTGTTGTGGAATAGTTCATGCCCAGCTATTTTAGAGACAGGCTCTTGCTCTTGCTCAGGCTAGTCTTGAACTCATGAGCTCAGGCAACTACCTCCACCTCCCATAGTGCTAGGATTACAGGTGTGGGCCACCACATCAGCCTAAGCCAAGCGTTCTTTTTTTTTTTTT